ATTTGGACAGGCCTTTGATAATGACGGAATTCTTGTTTCCAACATGCTCGATGACAATGTTGAGGAATTTGACGGGAATAATCTTGATTTCAGGTGAAAGTATCTCGAGGAAATAATTCCTATCACTGCGGTATAGAACCGCGAACATGATATGGGAACATGAAATAAAGAGTGGCTGAAAGAGACTTCGCTCCCTGGATATTGCTTATTGGTTTTGTTAGAAAAAAGTGGGAATATGTCTCATTAGAGAATAGCATGTACAATTAGAGTGTGTGTTCACAACTCGAGCTTGATGAGGACCACTAATTACCCATTGTGTCACTTCCACCAAACATGGACGAAATCCATTCAACCAACTAACAGTTTTTTAACAAGCCTTTGGTGTGAATGTTCCTTGACCCGTGAACTTCACTAATCTACATTATCCTAAATAGAGACAGTAGCCAAAACAAATAAACATGAACTGGAGGATCCCACCTAAGCACAGCTGATACAGTGGAGTGGTCCCCCAAGAGGAGCACTGAACTTCAGAAATAGACAGCACCAAACAACACTAACAAGATTTAGAACAGGCTATCTGAAGCCATTAAAGATAGAAAATAACAAAATCTATCCCACTTGCTCAAAATGTAACTTGGCACCTGCAGCTCCAGAACACATTTTGGCTTGCATTAAATGCACTAAACAGGACCTTTGGGAGAGGTCGCTGCTTATCATAAAACAGGTCGAGGAGCATGAACCTATGGAATTCGTGTAATCTTTTTACAAGGGGATAAGAAAAAACATCATCCTAATATTTCGAATAGCATGTGTATATTCTCAGAATTGATATCTATGTAAATTTAACCCATTTTTGTTATTATCGACTGTCTAGTCCAGTATGTTAATATCAATTGGTCAAACCTCGGATGTTCATCAGATAACGATTCTAAGGACGTGAAAAATGTTGATCAATTCTTAAAGAATTGTCTGAAAATATAATAATTTAAAAACGAAGCACATAAATATTAGAAAATTCGAGAGACTTCCAAATGTGACCTCCATGAGCTACGCAAGTAGAAACTTATCTTCTTTCATTTGGTAAATTCGCTACATATTCAAGACTCTTTGCCCAAACCATGGCCAGCACATATTCCCTAGAGGCGCCAATTTCTAATAAACCTGAAAGTTCTATTCGTATAAGGGTCCAACCTAGACAATATACGACGTATGAGTAACCTAAAAGACCTTATTAACTTTATTTCTTCAGTTTTCCAAAACCACAACAATGGAGAGGATTCTAAAAATCGCAGTTATTTTTTCATTGTGGAAGACCTGGTCATATTGTCAGGTAATTGCCGGGGGAGACGATAAGTTTTTGCCGATTCTCGCGCCATGAGATAAGGAAGGAAAGCAACAAACTTTGGCGATTATAAGGCGCCTAATGTTGGCAAATAGAGCCTAGGATACCGCCAACTCTTAGCAGTATTCCACCATATTCGCGGAGAGAGAGCACTCTACAGAACGCAGACCATAAAGATGACCTGATTAACAGCCGCTCATCTTCAAGGGAGAATAAAGAAAAACTAGATTCGATGATAGGTGGTAAGGCCGCACAAATTTTAAATCTACCATCGACGATTGCTATCAAAATTATAAAAGATTCTTTCAAAGTCACCATAAATGGATTGAGATATTAGGTGTGGTGATCTCTGGAGCAGACCATTCAGTAATATCAGAATAGCTTTATTATCGTATAAAACTCCAATGTTTATATATTGTTACATTATGTTTGATACGCCCATCTATTTATTCAAAATAATCTCTGATATTTTAAATTTATTTTAAACTGAATATGTACAAATACCTGTGAACTATAAGTATCATTCCTTTTGTACAATTTTGTGTATTTGTTTTTGTATATATCTTGATTATTTATTTTTTTTTTTTTTTTGAGATTTTTGGAATTACTTTTACTCAATGAATTATTTCACCTAACCCAATTCAAGCGAATAACCTTTGTCTCTAGAGAGATTTCGGGAATACATAAAGAGAAATTGAAGGTATTTTATGCACGAATGTTTCTTTTTTACACAAATCAAGCTTCTACTGTCCTTACTGCGATGAAAAAATATTTGGAAGGTCTTGGCTCATCAGTTGTGAATCCTCACAGTGGTTTCGCCAATTTAACCTAACAGACCGCTTTTTTAGAGTTCCAATACTGTATTGGATCATTCTGATTTTTAATGCTACACTGAATGGTGGAATCTTAGAAATGGTATTCAAGTAAACTACGAACATAAGTTTTTAGGACAGTAGAATTATATTCAATTATTTGCATCGTGCAATGCTCTTACGCAAACAATAATGACGAGTTAAGTTAAGCATAAAAAAGGACAGTAGAAGTTTGATTTATTTGTGAAAAGAAACATTCGCGTCTTAATGTTTTCATTTGTTATACCAGTTTTGTCAAATTTGGACAATCTGTATACTGGATATTGTAGTTTATCCTCTCTATACCCACCAGTACGCTTTGTATTGCCGTGATAAACACAAAATGCATTGTTTAATCCATTCAAGTGTCTTGTCTGACAATCATTTAACATTCAAATCTATAGAAAAGTTACTTTTTTAAAGGCGACATTGGGTAGATGAAATGTTGAAAACAACTATGTATAACGGAGTTGATTTAATTTACACTCCATTTAAATTATATCTATTTAACATTAAATTGCTGTAAAATTGAATTTATGTAGTAAAAGTTGCATCTCTCCCTTTAAAAATGCATTAAAACAATGATTTTAATTTATCACCCCGGTACAAAATTTAATGGTGATTATAATGAGCCACAATACTAGTTTTGGCAAATTTAAACAAAAACCAAACCTGTATACATATCTTTTAACATTCTATATTTTTATTTACTGTTAATTTACTCGTGTTTATTCATAAAAAGAGTCGATGAACGAGTGGTTAACACCCTCGATTCCCGACAGTCGTGAACTGGGATTGAATCCCACGTTAACATTTTGTTTTAATATGTGAATAACCTTCATATATTATTCATTGTTGCAAATATCATAAACAAGGTTGCTCTTTTTGAGTGGTACCTAATAAAGTGAATTTGGAACAAGAAAGTTAATTCATAAAAAAAAAGAGAGAGAAGAAGTCGGTGGGATTGTGGTTAAAACCCTCGATTCCCGACAGCCATGAACCGGGATCAAATCCCGTATTGGACACTTTTTTTGTGTAGAAGCTGTTCATTTTTGTATTGTAAATGACATAAGCTAGGGGTTACTCTTTTTGAGCGGTACCTAATAAAGTTATTTTGGAACAGGTTTATTCATAAAACATGTGTGGTGTGGACATGAAACAAGAAATCCTATTTATTTGATTTAAACGGGAACATACATCTGGATGCTTAGGTACAATCAGTCATCCATATATATATATCTCTCTTTAATTGCTTAACGTATCAAGGAATATGTCAGACTTTATATATTTTACAAAATATTATTTAGCTATTCATTCATTTGTAATGTATGAAAATAAATAAAAGCTTATATGAATGTATATTTAAAAAATATATTTTTATTTGCTTATTATTATACGAAATTATACGAAATTAATGTTAATAAAAAGATGCTAATATCGTTTTTAAAAAAGAACAATCCGTATAAATAGATCTTTAATTCAAACTTTTTCAAGATACAACAACGCATTAATTTTATGTAAACAGCTATTGACGTGTTATGTGGGGCTGAGTTTGTTGTTTACATTAAAATAAATACGTAACTGTGCTTTGCGTTCAGCTAACTTAAATATTGGTAAATAAATTATTTTTTGATCCAATATAATATATAAATATGATAATTAATTACAAGCTTGTCACAAAAGTTTGTGAACACTTGCAAAAATTTGAAATACCAATATTTTTCGCCGTTATATATAATGTCTTTGTATTATGTATAAAGTAATTGTATTATGTATTCGCCCCGTAATAATATTATTCGCCAACTAATAGGAAAAACAACGTTTCAAGAAAAACACGAACTTTTGGACAACCTTATAAAAAGAGAGATATATTGGATCAAAATATAATTTATTTACCAATATTTCAGTTAGTGTAACGCCAACCTTTTTCAAGGTATTTTAACGTATATATGTCAACAATTAACTCAGCGATATATAACGTTAATCATCAATGTTGCGCTGAGTTTTTTGTTGACATACATATGTTGTAATACCTTGAAAAAGGTTGGCGTTCAGCCAACTGAAATATTTGTAAATAAATTATATTTTGATCCAATATATGTCTTTTTAATTAAAGATCTATTTATAGATTTCGCTCTATTTTCAAAAGATGATAATATATCAGATAAATATATAACAATATTATAATGCATAAGCGCGCCATCTGTTATGTTAAACCGCTGGGAGGGTTCACTACTGATGAGCCAGGCCCTCCCATTAATTTTTCCATTGCAGTAAGGGCAGTAGAAAATGTTTAATTTTTAAAAAGAATCATACACGTCTATAATAGTTTCGAATTATATAACAATATAGATAATTTAAAATGAAAACAATGTTGCTGACGTAACATGATGCTCACCAATTCCATCTAGTTTGTTTGAATGGGAAATAATCAGATAAATAAATGTGATCAATAGTTACCCAGAACTTATTTGAAAATGGAAAAAATAAAAATCAGGTTAAAAGTGAATTTGCAAGTTTTCGAGCAAATATACTGCTCTTCAACGGGCTAATACTCTATGTACAATCTCTAAATTATCTTTATACAAAATAATTAGAAAAACCTTTGTTATTGACATGTGTTCTCACATTATATCAGATAATTTAGAGATATTGTACTTAGAGTATTAGCCCGTTGAAGAGCAGTATATTTGCTCTAAAGCTTGCAAATTCAAAATTAAAAGAAACTTTTTACCTGATTTTTATTTTTCAAATAAAAAATGTAGTAAAATTTGGTGGTGGTGCTTATTTCCATGATTAAAAAAAGATGGAGATGCCGGGGAATGAACCTATGGGCTCTCACATGCGAAGCGACCACTCTACCACTGAGCTATATCTCCTTACTAAGAGAATCTTCCGATAAATAAGATCTAGTACCTGGCAAACCAATAACTGCCATTTGAATACATCTCTTCATTCTGTAGACGTGACAATTTATATGCTCATTGTTTAGTCGCTAAAGTCATTAAAATCTCCGTCACGAATTTCAGCAAGCATCAGCAATTGTTTGAACGTACTTTTACTCATATTTCAGAGCCATACATTTCTCCGAATGCTAATTTCACCTGTCAAATCTAATGAGATTTAAGTTGCTTATCCGTGGCCTTCTCATTATCTCGTTTTCATTCATCGTTTAAGAGAGCGTCTATATTTTTGGTCGAAGAAGTACAGTCTGCACCAAGCTGATGAGGATCAACAGCTCGAAACGCGTAGGTAGTTGACTTTTCTTGATTTATCAAGAAATTGGGTTGGCCAAATAGCTTTGGAACAAGCTAAATCAACGTTTAATTGATTTTTGTTCCACTAGATGGCGCTCTGCCATCTAAAATGCTTATGTGAGCGGTCAGGAAAATACCAATTTTATTTTTAATATCAACACCTGACCGTTTTTTTTCTTATTTATTATATAATTTAAAGTTATCGTTTATAGAATAAACTACCCTGTAAAGTCAACCCGTAGATATGTAAATATGTAATCTTTTATTTTCTTCTACTCGCCTTAAATCAGGTAGTAGTTTCTCAAATTATGTAATAAATACTTCATTAACACAATTAAACAAACTAGCAACTAATGATTTAAACTGTTTTTATTATTATTACCACGACTCATTGAAGTCCATTGAAACAATTAGAAGAACTTCAAAAACTCAATAGAAATCAACAAACATCTTTAGCAAGACTAAGAAGTGGCTATATAAACTCATTGTTGTTGTTTCCCGTTGGCCGGATCATATCTTTCTGTAGATATGTAAATATGTAATCTTTTATTTTCTTCTACTCGCCTTAAATCAGGTAGTAGTTTCTCAAATTATGTAATAAATACTTCATTAACACAATTAAACAAACTAGCAACTAATGATTTAAACTGTTTTTATTATTATTACCACGACTCATTGAAGTCCATTGAAACAATTAGAAGAACTTCAAAAACTCAATAGAAATCAACAAACATCTTTAGAAAGACTAAGAAGTGGCTATATAAAAACCTTAAAATTTCAAAATGGACAAAAAAACCTTCAATGACTGCTTGAAATGCAATAGTGCGGGAGCTTCTCCGGAACATATCATGCTCAGAACTGACAATAGAGGACCTATTTTCCAGGTCTATAACTACCATCGCAAAATCGGAGAGGAGTGGACTTCAGGAATTGGTTTAACCATGGAGATAAGCACCACCACCACGACTGCAATAACATAAAATACTCATGTATCCTCAAAAAATAATATGCATCAGCAAGTAATAATTCTATATATTATGAAAAAAAGCATCTCCTTATCGTGCAACTGAAAGTTGCTGATGCTTGCGCCATCTATTGGAATAAATATCAACTATTCTCGTTGATTATTAATTATTCCAGAATTGGCCAAATACCCATTCTTGATTAATCAAGAAAAGCTAACCACGGACGCGTTTCGGGCTGTTGGCCCTCATCAGTGTGGGGCAAGCTGTACCTCAACGACCAAAAAATTGGTCATTCAGGCATCCTGAAAAATCATGAAACGGGTAGTTATGGCCAGGATTGCGCGAGACTGCGACACAATGTGAAAAATTCTATATATATCAAACAAATTTTTCATTATAATATATATATTTGTTGAAATCTTGGAGTGTGCATCTTCAGCATAAAGAGAGTGTTGGAAAAGTCTGGGCATAATTTGAAACACTTGTCCATCTGAAAACCAGAATTATATAGGTGATGACCATTCCTTTTACTCAGTTTCTGATAGGAATTAGGATTTTATGTTTTGATTGAGAGGATGGCAAAGCTCCCATCAATGAAACCTCAGCAAATGATAATATTTGATTCAACATTTAACCTGAATAGTTGGCATTTGTGTATGAACATAAAAACTGAATATGATATGAAAAAAATAGTACAAATTCACAATTGTACTGGTATAAGGATATGCCTTTTTCTTAATTGAATATGATATATTTGGGCAGCTATATTGACATTTGACAAGATATATATGCCTTAATATGTATGTTACATAAGAATTTTTTTATGTTTATGGATCTCAAAAACGTATCAAAAGATTTCCTGAGCCCTGGTCTAATAGCTTTTATCTAAAAGATATTAGTATTGAATGTAAACACCTCTCTCTATAAAATCAATGAAATCTTCACAGTGCAACGTCATGCTGTTAATCAGGATCTAAAGAACAAGGACTGTGACAAAAGTTACTATTACGGGTTATCACACAAAAATGGAATATACTAGGGCCTAAAGTAAATGTAACTTAATACACAGAAAAGCGTACACTTAAGAGTACAACACCAACAACAAGAAGGAATTAAATAAAACAAAGCAGTACTTATCTTTATTGTAGAGTTGGTATGGGATCGGACTCGGGTCACACCGGGATGCGAAGAGATCCCCAGACATGGAAAAATCAGGTAGAAAACCTTTTAAGCGTCTCCACACCAATTCTCCTCGCTCTGGGCCCCCTACATTCCCTTAGTCCCCTCTTATATACAGACATGGCCACATTCGTCCAATGAGAAGGCGTTAGAGATTATTTCACTAACAAACGAAGACAACATTCTTCCCGCTAAAAACTGATCAGAAAAAAAACTGAAAATGTTTGTCAATATAATTTGACAACTGGAGCAACAAATTATCATTTTCTAAAGGACAGATTTTAATTCCTGGAAAATTCTAAGAAGGGTGGCTCTTGTATCTCGGAATCCATCTCCCTAAAGAATCATATACATAAGAAACGTAAACATTAAAGCACGAATGTTTCTGAGTCACTGATGAGCTAAGCCCTCCTAATATTTCTCATCGCACTAAGGACAGTAGAAGCTTGTTTTATGTTTAAAAAGAAACATTCGTGATTTAATGCTTCCATTTTTTATATATAGATGACACGTTATCGCCTCATAATTAATCTTATACATGTTCAAATGGATTCATATCTGTAGATATCGTTGGTCAGTCCATTTCTCTTGGTCAGTCCAGCTCTATGTAGTCTTGCATTATCGTCCAGGTAAATAAATACTGGACCAAATTCCAACGGAATAGCTTCACACAATGGCCCAAATTTTATCGCGATACCTGTCAATGGTCAGGATTCCTTGTTCTATCAAGTTGTCATAGCCATTCCACACCATAAAGCAGGACCATCCGCAGCGATCTCTTCGCCCAAGTTGGCTGTTTGATTTCCTGTCCCACCATCCCTCTAGACCAGAGCACGACAGGAATCAGGCTCAAGAAGTGACTCATCAGTGAAGAGAACATAGTATCAACAAGTGCACATTAAAAGAACTTGGATTCACCCCAAAGCAAGCTCTTATTTCCAGGAGAACACAAAACCCGATTCCTATTCATAAAAACCTGTTAAAACCAGAAGTTCAACTTAATGTTTGTGAAAAAATAGAGTGGAATGCATATATTTGGCTTTCTTGTATAAAGACCTCTATCATTTATTCGCCTCGACTCATTTCTTCTTGAAATTTAAATTACTGATCAAAGAATAGATACGTTCTGATTTGGATAGCTTGTCCCTGTGCCGTTTTGTCTTAATGTTATGAAGAGATTTTCTTGGTCGTTTGTTGTTCTTTCAGCTTTGACAGGATCTTCGAGCAACAGTTCCTGAAGCTACTTCCAAAATTTTGAAACAGCCTGTCTTGCACATTGAGCCAAGTAGCCAATCCGACTTGAGATTTCCGAGCCTTCAATCTTCAAATTGACCATTATCGTCTGAATGACGTTGCCATTATGCAATTTTATGACAAAAAGGGTAATTAAAGCTAGTGAAATAAAAAAAGTCTAAGTACCTCTTTTGGTACATGGCTACTATCTTCCTGCAGCTTTGTCTCATATACATATATACTTCGCATCCCATCATAACAGAGAACCGATGACCAAAATACCTTTATGGTCTCTATCATATTAGTAATTCTTAGAACATTATAAATTTATGACATCTCAAGTCACACATAGTCAGCTTGAAAGGAGAATTCATAGATAAATGAAATCGTTCAATTGAAAATAAAATTATCGTTATTTATTGGAATAACCATTGATTAAAAACGTCCCGGAGGAACTACAACACACGTTTTCTGTGGCGTATCAGACATTTCTATTCACACATATATGTAGGGAAACCATAAATAGCTAAGAAACCTTGATAAACCTTGATAAATAGAGCGTTATATTTCTATCTTAAAGCGTTGATATAGTTGTCAAATGTTGTTCTCTTTCTTAAATTTTGTTATTTATTTTATGATATTTGTAGAAGGGGGCAACTAGTGATGGGCAAGCAAACACCATATTTATGGAGAGGTGGAGTAGAAGCCAGGAAGTGACCTTGCCCCAAGATGGTGGTGAATCACCTGACCCCAAAAGGGGGTGGTTATAAGGGCTCCGAGCGGTCAGGTCAGCTGCAGAGCACGGGTCAAAGTCAAGGAAGCCCCTCCTCCTCCCTCCCCACATTCAAGGTAAGACGCGCGAGGTGAAGGCCATCGTCTGTTACTCAGGTACTTGGTCTATTTTATTCTCTGCACGTCGTTCTTTTCTGATAAAGATTCTTCTTACATTTTTATTTGAAAAATCATTCTTTAAATTTATTTTTCTATATCGCTTTAAATATTTTAAACTATATTTGAATAAATACAAAATATAGTTTTAAGTTATATTTTATTATTTATAAATATTTCTATGAATTTTTAAAATATTTTCTATGTTAATATGTTTTATCTTTCTAAATATATATATTATATATATATTTAATTATATTTATATATATAATATTTTTAGTCGGGTTATTTTAACAATAAAAAAAAAATTCTTTAAATAACAAATAATTTGACTTTCTAAATACATTTTGAACAAAA